CGTGCTGCATGCGTTATGTAATTGCCTAACTGTTTGTCTATCCGATTGCGGAATGTATACGAAATTTGAATTTTTATCGAATGCGCAAGTTATTTGTTCTATTTTCTTTTAAAATTTTTACTATTTTATTTTGTAGAATGCCTATGAAATGTTGCTTGAAAGATAAGCTAGCGCACAAAAAGTCAACCAAAGTTCAAGACAAATAAATATATGCTTGAATAGGGATATTCACTTTCAAGCGAATAAATTTCATTAAGTAACCGAATTTTTCACTTGCTATGGAAATTTTAGGGATTTGGAAGTATTCCTTTCTACTATTGCAATAAGAAAATATTGAGGTTGTTCACACTTGCCTGGTTATCAGGCTATGTGGTTATGTGGTTATATTTTTTATTCAGCTTACAACAATGAAATACACTACACAATAATAATTTTTAACCAGATAACCTGATAACCAGGACAGTGTGAACAACCTCATTCACTGCCATTGTAAGGCGAAGTCAAGTAGCCCTATTATACAAAAAAATTCTTAAAATTACCAATACAAATTTTAATTACAAGCATTACAAAGTTGCTAAGTAAAATTTTTTTAATTTTATAGGAGGGAAAAATTCGTACAGCCCCTTCCTTTAAGTATTTCGCAAGTCTGCGAGTACAACATTTTGTGTGTTTAAAGAAAGCAAAACTCCATACGAATAGGGAGAATTCGATCTTTATTAAAAGATCTGGTATTATTTCGGTTTTGTCGGATTTTCGGTGCCTCTTTTGGACTAAGAAAATTTGCTTTTCATTGAATATAAATGAGAAAAAAATTATACAAGTACCTTAATCCTTTTCGAAACGATGCATTTTTAATATCCCTTGCTTCCTATATCAAAATATGAGTTTTCATTAAAAGTGGGCTCATCAACATTTTAGTCTAAGCCAGCGATATTAGATTTTATTTTATTTTATTTTATTTACAGTATTCCATGATTAATTAAAGTTGAAAAATTCCTCAATTGTTGGTCCAATTATAATTCTGACAGCATTTGGGTTTTTGATCTCGGATTTTTTTTTAATAATTTTTTATGTTATAGTACCAATTGAAAGAGGCCTTCCCGGTAAAAAAAAAAAAATTTATGTCCAGCCACTACCCACTGCAGTTATATGCAATTAACTGCAATAAAGTATTTTGATCTTTTTGATTAATGCAGTGAATTTGTATAGAAGTCAGTGTTCCTGGCAATGAGTTGGACAAAATTTCTAAGCTTTTCATTAAAATAAAAATTGGCGAAAATAGATCCCTTTGTCAAGACCAGACTGCGAATGTTTATGCAGAAAACGAAGCCAAAAATGTGTATCACTTATGTAACTAACTATATGGGTAATATATCTAACGTATTTATGAGCAAATTGGTCTGCTTTTTAAAATATGTACTGTTTGTATATATATATATGTATATACATATATAGCGCCACACACAAATTATATTGGCCTCAAAAGTGAATCACTTATTTTCTTAAGTGTAATTCCTACAAGAAAAATTATTAATCGATGCGCGACCTCTTACAGTTATTTGTAGAGAGGGAGGATGCATGGAGGATCATAACTATACCAACTACTAAAGTCTTAGTCAGATGGCGGTCGCATTGCAGGATTTTAATTTTTTTTTTAGGCGTGGTCTAATGTAAATATACATACATATATTGTCACCTGAAATGCGAAAATCCATAACTAACAAACTTTTTTTTCTGCATAATACAAAGAATATGAAGAATACAACTTGTGGGAACTCGCAATTCGATAAAATGCACCATAATCAATCACAAACTAGATTTTGAATTTCTTGTTCGTTACGGCCTTTTACATTTTAGGTGACGATATGTGATATTTGTAAATGAATTTGTGACCAAAAAAGGTAAGTTTTAAGCCACTAAAAAAATTGTCAAGTGGTGGAGCGAAATCCCTTTAGCACTTGACAACCATGCACCGAATTAGTAGCTGTATGGATATTGTTTTATTGATACATAGAAGTTAGATAGTTTAGTTTATTACATTATTTAATTTAATTTGTATGAAAAGATTTATTCCTACGCACATCCTTGGAATTTCAGAAACCAAAAAGCTATACAACCTTCATGTGCGCTCAGAAATAGGAGCGATCCATTAGAGTGTTGAGCGAGAAATTGCGGTACATGCCGCAACGTTGAAGTTCATTGGAGAATTTCTGGGAGAGTGGAAAGTAACGCGTAGGTATTGTGTAGGCATTGGGTGCGTAGTAACCATACTCTGAATTGCAAGTGCGATACATGGTGTTCTTGTCTGTCTCAACGCCATAGCCTTTAAAGTTGTCTGAAAGAAGAAAAAAGCATTGTTTAGAAAATTGAACACATAGAATATTACAATTTCCAGACGTACAAGGGCACTTGATCTTCTCACGCGTGTGCAGCTGCTCATACAACTTAGCCGTTTGTATGATGGGTTTACGTTTCAAAAATTTTTGGTATTCTTTTTCTGGATTAAAAGTATCCAAATCGTCACAGTAGTGTTCACACATTTCTGCATAAAATCAAAGTTTGCGCGGTACTTTAATTACTTTGTATTTAATGCAACAATTTGTGACCTAAAAAAAA